TGTTGATCTGTTGTCATGGCAGGTGGCGCGTGGGATATGGTTGCCATAGATATACCATCAAATGAGCCAGGCTCAGTTGCTATAACAACGTTACCATCATTACTATGGTGCACAAAGGTAGCTGTGTAAAAAATAGAATGAATGAACTCAGTATTGTTACGATTGCGCATCCAACGGCGTCTCAGGTAAAATGTTTCCACCCTCCGTATATCCAGACCTGGAAATAGTATAGTGGAACCTGTGAACGCCGTTCCAAGAAAATATTTTGATTTCCAAGAAAGGCTTTTCAATTTTGGTTGGCAGAAAGTTTTGGGCTGGTAACAGTGGGAAAAGTCAGAAAAACTAGACCGGTATTAAGTCAATATTTTTGGCCTCAAAACGTTTTTGGTTTCCTTGACCATACATTAAAAACTCCTTGAAATTGGATTTCTTTTATCATATATACATTCATACACTAAAATAATTTTCTTGAAATTTCCTTGAAAATGGAAACAACGGCTCCATTTTCCAGTTTCCGCAACGGTTGCAACATTTTTTAAAACATTGCACAGTGTAACATCCCTCTTGCAACAAGTCTCGCAATATTTGCTCACTTTATGGCTTCTCGTTGGCTCTTAGCTGACAATTTGCGCCGAACGTTAAGCTGGAGTAATACGAGCAACAAAATTGCTGCAACTTGCAACAAAACTGATTTCTACGCATGTTATTTCAAATGTTTATACACATAAATTACAAACACGAGGCAACATGTGCCAACATTTCAGTAGCAAATTTTCAATAGCAAATCTTCATACAAATGAATTTCCTGCAGCTGTTTAACATTTCCTGCGAGCAGTGCTCGTGTTCTCCCACCCAGTTGTACCTGATATAGAATTATCGATATCAATACAGTTAGTTTAGTACAGCAATTAGACTCGTGTTTTACCTTCTCCGGTGCCAGATACAGGTATACTGACAGTCCCAGGTAATAGTTCTGCCAGTGCCACACCTCCCTGATCTAAATATACAGTCCTGGGATCTGAACTAACAACAACTGCTGACGATACAAGGTCATTGGCCGTTAAATTGCCATGGTGATCAGAACCAGGATAGTCTTCTGTGACTTGGTTAGTTTCTTAAATAAAGAAATTACACAAGAAATATAAATGCTTATAAGCGAATTCTATCTTTCACGAAAGATACATATATTTCTGTTAATTGGTTCATTCGTACTTTCTAGAGTGTGTATAAATAAAACCTGAACCCTTTCAAATTCAAATTAGCTATAACGTATTGTATAGTAATTTGACAGCTCTAATTGCTTTGAATTAATGGTTGTGTAACACACGGGACAAAACTCAAAGAAATAAAAATTAGAAAACTTAAAAGAAATACTGTATTTCTTTTAAATTTTCTAACTTTTGTTTCTTTTAGTTTTGTCCCATGAGTACAAGACCTTGTGTTCTTATACGTTATACTATATATATACTATATGAATTTGAAAGGGTTCAGGTTTTTTTTATACACACTGTATATCGATCACTCTTAACTAAGAAATAGAAATACACTCGCTTGCTTACACAGAGTTACAGATGTAATGCGTGAGACAAACGTCGGGGCAATACGAAAGAAATGTGTAAAACACAAGACAATGGCCCATGACGCTCTTTTCTAACCCTTTTGTTTTGCTTTTGGATAGATTTTGTTTAGAATGTTTTCGCAACAAGCGAAGACAAAGCCGGGAGCGAAGGGACTAAAGAGCTTATTATAAATCACTAGAGTGGTAAATTGGTCCCTCGAGACTTGCACATGGACAGCGTCGATTTTAAGTACCACGTGATGAACTTTCTGGGCACGTCGTGACCGCTTTTTAACTTAAAATAAAATTCATAATAAAGATCTAAAAAGAATGGTAAATGCTCAAGCATGTTTTAGAACTGCAAATACAGGTAAAGAAAATTAATATAACACAAATGCCCTAGTGCATGCATGTGCTTGTCTACTGACATTAGAGAGTATATAATTATTTGTTATAATTGTAGTCTATAAACAGCCAAACAAGCAATTAAGCTTTGGCTGGAAAATAACTATTAGCGGTAATAACAACTTAATTCAGTTAAAGTTACGAAGCTTCCTTGTCTTGGCAAGAGCATGTCAATTAAGTATGAAATCTTACGCTCATGACTTTCTGACACCACATCATCATCCAGTATAGAGTCTGTTCTTGAAGAGCTTGAACTATGCTCAGCAGAAGCCTGGAATTGATACAATAAGATACAATCAAACTTCTCTTTCATCTGAAGGTTTGTGGCTGCTAGTGAGTGGCTGATCATGCAGCAATTGGTTATTACTGATTGTTTCAATTCACAATCGCCCAACTAGGAGTGCAATTGTTAAAACCTTGCGAATGACACCATTTATTTTACACGCAGGCTAAATTGGCATTAACAACTACTAAATTCAAATAACTGCTTTGCCAAAAAACTATATAACATATATGTAACATGAAAAATAATTTCTTCACATGACAAAATGATTGATTTTTAACCTGCACCACCTTTGCATAAGTCGGTTATATATTAGGGGACTACCGGATAGAGCTTTTCGCTATCCGGCCGGATACCGGATATTTTTATATAAAGCGCGGTCCTCATTTAAGGTGAAATAATAATCTTAATTGGTTAAAAAGTGAACTAAGTGTTTATATATATTATAATATTTCGACTTGAAATAATACGAAACAACTTCACAGTCTAACATCGGTGAACATGCATGCAATTCCATGATGCATGCAGTTGCAAAAGCCTCGCTCACCAAGTTCAAATTAATCCGCATGCATTTACAAACGAGCATGAAAATCTCAAAAATAAGGCTAGCCTTTCTTCGATCATTTCAAGTAAGTTATGATAAGATTTTTCTAACGTGAAAAGAAGGTCTGATCATAAAACTAAAAGAAACAATATCCAGTCCTAATATATCTGCCCGGATATAACGGAAGAGATTATTTCGCTATCCGGACGGATGTGATAACCAGTGCATCCTTATTATATATAATCGCTTCCGATTGTCTACCGATAACGCAATAATCGGTCCGATTCCTATTCTTGGTCAATCACTAAAGCCGGTTTTCCACTTCGCCCGTATCGGACCGAAACGTACTGGTGAGCATGCGCAGATTGAAAAGAGGTTTATAAATCCACGTACTTCCGGGTGTATTCGCGTATCAAAACGAAAAGGTCGTCGCAAGTCAACTTTTTGGCGTACTACGGAAGTACTAACAAATCAACATTCACGAAATTTTGAAATTTAAAAATGTTTTTGATACGTTTCGGTACGGTACGTTTGAAGTGGTAAACCAGCTTAATATAGCTTCTATATATAAGCTCCTGTGGAAGCTACTGTATATACATATAGGGACTTAATGCTAGATTATACATATAATAATACCTGTTCATTTTGTGCTGTGGTTGCTGTAAGAACGGTGACTGCGTTACTATGATCTGAATGATCAAGTAAGTCATTACTTTCCCCAGTGGAAGAAGAGAACACTTGTTGTGGTGTAAGAAACAATCCAATCACTTCTTGACCTACACATGGTAAAAACAAAAATTAAGATTAAGAAGGACGACTTTCGCCCTTTGTGCAAAAACGTCTAAAGACCCGGTGAAACGAGATTGAGAGTTGACGAGAGAGACGCAACTCTCACTCGCGTTTACAGTCAAACCGGATGTTCTCTTGCGAGCAACATTGCAATATTCTTCCACAGTATTGCAATTTTGATAGACAGATTGCTCTGAGCAAATTGCAACCGACGCGAACAAATTGCAAGTTGGAAATTCACAAAAGATTTGTAAACAAAGCCTCTGATTGGATTATAGGAAAGAGGGAAGCCAATCAAATAGTGTGAGCAACTGGATTGGTGCTTCCGCCTTTCTTATAGTCCAATCAGAGACTTTGCTTACAAATCTTTTGTGAATTTAAACTTGCAATTTGTTCGCGTCGGTTGCTAGGATTCCAGAGCCTTCGACAGTAAATAATAAATTGAAATGTCGTGAAGGCTCTGGTTCAACGGGGCGATTCTTTGATTGAACCGCGCCAATCACAAAACAGAATTATGTACTAATTAACTAAACAGAATCTGTACTAAAACCACTAATTCTGTTTTGTGATTGGCGCGGTTCAATCAAAGAATCGCCCCGTTGAACCAGAGCCTTCGCGACATTTCAATTTATTATTTACTGTCGAAGGCTCTGGAATCCAGGGTAGTCGGTTGCAATCTGCCTATCAAAATTGCAATATTGTGGGACAATATTGCAATGTTGCTCGCAAGAGAACACCCGGTTTGACTGTATATAACACAAACGAGATCTCAATCATGAAGATGCACTCTAACTTTAACATTACATTGACTGTTCAAATATTGATGAGACTTTGTGCACGTTTGACAGTTATATTCGCGCAGCAATATCTACTTTAAATGCAACGCTTGTTCACCTACAGTAAATATGCAGGAGAGCTGGTTAATGAAACTCTCATTCAAACTCTTACTAACTTTTACTAACAAGTTAATGCAACTTTTCGACTGTTAAAAGTCAAAACGTAAATCAAAATCTCTTTTGTTTTGACGCATATACCACGCACTTCTTTTCTAGCAGTGCTTTTTGGTGTAGTGCTGTACCGGATATTTCTTTTTTTGGCACTGTATCGTTTTGGCACAGTACAGTGTATTTCAATAAAATTGCTCTTCTCTTAGCCAATCAAAATTGAGTAATATTTTCATGTATATTATTTACAAAAAAACCGGCTACACAAGAGCAATATTTCCGTGACAATTAAGTTTTCGTGTTGTATGCCAAGTTTTGGTATGATAAGTTTTACTTGTTTCATAACCATCCTCAGAGATAGTTTTCAGAACCATCCTCAGAGATAGTTTTCCTATCTCTGAGGATGACAATTAAGTTTTCGTGTTGTATGCCAAGTTTTGGTATGATAAGTTTTACTTGTTTCATAACCATCCTCAGAGATAGATTTCAGAACCATCCTCAGAGATAGTTTTCCTATCTCTGAGGATGGTTCTGAAAAAGTTTTACTTGCTCGTCTGTATGTAGGCAACTTTGACATTTTTAAAGGCAAACTAACATGGTTTGAATAACTATAATTATCATGGTAAAAATGTGAAACTGAACGTACAATAATTTACATTTCGTCTGTATGCATGGGTCAACAAAGAATATTTAGCAATTAAGTAATTTGAAAACCAAAAACTGTCATAGAAAGTTTTTTTGTACGTAAACACTGTCCACCACTGGAACTTAAGATGTTCGGAACCTTACAAAATAAGACGTTGTTACTAAACTATTTCTTTCGCTTAAGTCGGTTGCATGCACAAGAGCAAACGTTTTTTCTATGATAAGTTATATTAATTTTGGCAATTGCAATTGAATGATACAGTATGTGTAACATTAAGGCTGTAACAATAATTTTTCAACCAATGAATCGTACCATGAGAATTTTCTCCAGATACAGAAGATCATTTCAATGAACTTTATACTGTTACTGTAATCAAATTAAGCTAATTCAACAGCACTTTAAATGAATGAATATAATATGAATTTCATAAATGAATCATCCCAGTTAACCGGGCCAGCCCGGCCACCTCCATATGGACAAATAAACTGGTTCTTACCGTGTGATTTTTCAATATCATTATCAGAATTGTCAACAGTTGATTCCAAGTGAGCTTCGTCTTCCATTCCTCAAACTAAAAACAAGTCAAATAAATGCAATGGAAATATTGTGGTAATTAAGTATCGATATATACAATGTCATGTACTACTAACTGTATGGCAAGGTAATTTATCTTGTTAATTTAATGCGAACCAATATGGCAAAGGTAGAACCAGCGTGGTTACATGCAACCCAAATATTACGCAGTTACAGATGCCAGTATATATATAACGATAAGTACGATACAGACTTCATTGTGGATTATTAACGATCGGCAATGCATGGGCTATATGCCGAACAACACCACCAAATCATGGCAGATTAATCTTATTCTGTACGGACATTTTGACTGAGCAAACAATGTGGTTTTTATTTAAATTAAACTAAGATATATGTATTTTAATAGTAGTATTACGAGAGAAGAAACACACCAATACAACCTCTTGGCTTCGCAGTGACAATTAAGGTACTGTAGGTAGTCAAAAGCTACTTCAATCTATATACTAGGCCTATAGCCTTAGCAAGATCTGGAGCAAGATCACTACATATTAATTAACCCATTGCCCCCCAGTTCTCAATCTCCTCTTGATGAGTAAATTAAATCAACTGGCATTATGGAGAGTAAATTATAAAGTAGGGTGCATTAGGGCACAATTTGATGTGCACCTTATTGGGTTAACCCACTGAAGGTCAGGGCTCTCCCCTTACCTGTTAGTTGCCTCAATTGAATCATGGTGTGGCAATGGTAATACAGGTTTTTGGCTGAAGTCAGACCTCTGTATCATATAAATATACTCTGTCCTTAAGCCGTCTACCGTACCTAATACGTACCACACCGCGGCACCGCCCCTGAGGGACCGGTCATTAATTACAGGGGAGGGGGGGGGGGGGGCGGGGGGAAAGGAAAACTTACATGCTAAAATTTTGTTGGCCC